CAATGAACAACACACATGCATATTTTATCAATGACACACATGCATGAAAGGTTCAAGTTGCTAACCGCGATCGAGGAGGAACCTCAAGTGTGGCTCCAACACTTCATATCATGTTTGTTTCACGCTGTTGGGCATTTCATCAAACACCTTGTGTGCATAAGAGGAACCAAAAGCAAACCTACACCCCCTTGTGAAGAGAAGTGGCACCAAATGGCTAAGTGAGTGCGCTGAACTGGTATATATAGGGGAGGAGCTTTAGTCACGGTTGGCCAGGCCAACCGCGACTAAAGGCCTTTGGGCACCTTTAGTCGCGGTTGGCCTGGCCAACCGCGACTAAAGCCCCTCACGTGCACCAGCTGGCCACCGAGCGCCCTGGCCCAAGCCTTTGGTCGCGGTTCGTCTGCCGAACCGCGACTAAAGACTTCATTAGTCGTGGTTCCTACAGTTTCGCGACTAATGGGGCTGGACGGAAGCCTCTTTTTCTACCAGTGAACGTAGGTCAATGAGGGCAGGTAACTCCGCAAGAATAACAACATCATCCTTGTCCAGCTTGTCAACAGTGAGACACAACATCTGGAGGTTATGGAGTTCCCCAATCCAGTTAGGGACCCGGAACCTTCGTATCATGTGGAGTGTCATAAGGTTGGGGGGAGGAGGTGACAAGGTTAGTGCCTCAGGTATCCAATAATCAGGTGAAATTATGTGCAGCCACTCAAGGCTACAAAGTTTTCCCAAAGAAGTGTTTAGAACATCCATGTGCGCATCTTCCGCAAAACCGGTCCTGAGAGATAGAGTACTCAGATTGGTAAGCTCTCCTAGGCCCTTGATATTGTCGAGCGAGTTGTACAGCATGTCAAAATGTCACAGATGTTGTAGAGATGTCATTTTACCAACGCCCATAGGTAGCCTTTCAACGGATGGAACATGGAGATCCAACAAGCGTGGCAGGTGAAAAATATCCATTGGGAGACATGACCCATCTATATCAAATGTTTCCAAGTTTTGTAGCCCTCTAATCTTCGTTGGTAGCTGGCATGTATCACAGCCACGAATCTGTATATGTCGCAGCTGATATAATTTACACAATCCAGTCAGGTTGATTTTCTGGTTCTCATCAGTAGAAATAGAACTAAAGTCAGCAATAAAAACTCGAAGATACTTGAACTCTACCAAAGAAGGTATACTCTTGCAGCTTCTCCACATTGCAAATGATCGCACTTGTGACATACTACCATCCCATGGCAATGTTGCACCATCCAAATTGAAGAGCACCCGGCGGGGCTTTTGAAGCTGTCCTGTAATGGCATCCGGGCTGTCTACTACAGTGATAAAATTCTCTTCTGCGGACTTGTACAATATAAGATCCAACAAGATATCATGTACTTTGCAAGTTCTCACCGATCCATCCGTGTCAATTTGTACAGGTTGAATAAGGCTCCTGTTGACAAGCTCATTGAAATAACTTATCGCAGTTTGTTCTGGGCTTTGTCCACGTGCTTTACTAACAAAACCTTCAGAGACCCATAGCCTTACCAACTCATCCCTATATATTTCAGAGTCTTCTAGAAACATACCAAGATATAAGAAGCATGTCCTGAGGTGGTGAGGAAGATTTTTGTAGCTAAGGTTCAAGATCTGTCTCATTGCTTCCAAGGTGAGATTTGTGCCCGACAATGACCCCAAAGAATTCTGTACATGTTTCCACCTCTCCTTTTGGTTAAAAGTTCCACTTGCTAATAGGCTGGATATGCTAATGATTGCAAGTGGCAGACCACCACATTTCTTGAGAATCTCCACTGAAACATCTCTGAGTTGACTTGGACAAGCTTCTTCAGAGCAAAATATCCTATCAAAAAACAATTTCCTTGAGTCTTCTTCACTAAGTGGTTTCATTTCCAGAATATGCTTGTGGTGACCCAAACAACATGCCGCAGCTACATTCTTGATTCTTGTAGTTACTATTAATCTACTATGAAGTTCATTTTCTGGGAAAGCACATTTAATAATATTCCATGCTGATGCATCCCATAGATCATCAATGACAACCAAGTACCTGCAAGAAAATCAGTACCGCGGTAAGTAAATTAAAAAAAGTACAAAATATTTCTATAGGTACAAGGTAGATGAAAATAGTTTTTATTAAATTAAATATTAATTGTCATGAAGGGGAGCCTTGGCACAACGGCAAAGTTGTTGACTTATGACCATGGAAACGAGTTTGAGTCCTGCGAACAGCCTCTTGCAGAAGTGTAGGAAAAGATTGTGTACTATGTACCGAAAGCGGTCGGCCCCTTACCCGGACCTAGCGCAAGCTGGAGCTACGTGCACCGGGCGTATAGAAGAATATAATAATCCACATAATTAGCTACCCTTTAGTTTTAAAAGCATACTTTAATTGTTTAAGCAAATACCTACAAAGTCGAAGTGTCGCATTTTTATTATTTATTCTGCCTTTCCTCGCATGGCACTCGCTGTTCTTTCCGCCAAGTGCCAACCCAATCCACCACACCCGACTTCCCTCATCTCGCACATCATTCAGTGCGCCTGTTGATCACTCCGTCTTACCAGCCTCCTCTAGCAGCACTCTCCTAGCCTCTAAAGCCCATTCCGCTAGCTCGTTGCCTCCCTGGCCAACCCCAATCGACATCCGCTGGTCTTGCTGCCGATAGGATGCCTAGCTCACTACCTCCCGTAGCCAATTCGCCTCTATACCGACTGCAAGGTTCGCACTCCATGTTGCTTTTTTTGTTTGTCAAATGATGATAAGCAAACTTCATAAAGGGGTGGATGATGAAGTACATCCAGCTATGGATTATCCCTAAATACTTAGCTGTGGATTATGTATCATTTCTGCTATACCATTGAGACTTGGCAGTTAAATCCAATGTATTAAATAGCGGGTTATGCCAACTAGTGGCGGTCCTTCAGATCAGCTATAGCGGGGCTATAGTGGGCTATGAGTGAATTATTATACATGAGTACCATTTAGCGGCACCCTACTCAAAAAGCTATAGCAAGGCTATAGTCCCCGCTATAGTCGGCTATTTAAAACTATGGTCAAATCTATTTATCTTGATTTGCCGTGACCATTTCGAATATGTGGCAAATTGAAGTGTGCACCAAATATGGCATGCATGTGGTTACAGATCCTTGTATGGTTGTACAAATGAAGATACTACGTGGCATAGCCTTAAAACCCGCACAAGAAACTGTTGCATAATGTTGTTACCAGCTTGCTTGTAGGGCTTTCAGTTTTAACCCCAACATCTGGGACACTAGCTAGTGACTAGTAAATAAGCACATGCAATTCACGTTGATATTAGGGAGAAAAGTAACTGCACGTTGATATTAGGTAGGATATCATTTACGTGTTAATTATGAGATTAATATAGATGTTGGTATTTTGTATGCTATCAATTGCATGCTCAACTTGTTGAGAGCTCACCATTGGAGCAGTCATTGGTTTGACATGGTTTGATGGCTCAGATTAATTGGATCTGCCCTTTTTGGTCTTTTTATATTGGTATAGATGACTAAATGAAATGAAAATTCTAGGCCAAACTATGTGAATTATTTTCTGCGGTGCTATGATGAATGGAATTTTTGTTCGTGAATTTGCTTGACTTTTAGGCAGTTGTATTTGTTCGATTAAAACTATCATTTTACTTGGCTGTGAAATTATTTACTTTCATCATGCTATCAAATCATAGCCTCGTGGTCTTTTTTTAATACAGTACAACACAGATGCTAACATACACGCATTATGGTCTTAGTTTAGTCTAGTGTTTCATATATGATTTTCGTCCCATGTTGGTGTTAAGGAGTATAGTATTGGTCTAGGCGTCCGTATTAGTCTAGATTTCCCTTTTTGTACTCAAGTCTTTTGTACTATATATTTGGCCGAGGTAATATCATTGGGAGTCACAGAACTTACGCTTGACGTTCAGATTGGTTCTAAAACTTGCAAAATATGGAACTGTGGTCATATAACTTGTCTCCGCGTTAAAATACGGTGCTTCCTCCCATATCAGGGTGTATGGCCTACACACGGGCCTGCCAGCGCGGCATAGGCCCACCTGTCAATGTCTGAAAGCATTCTTTTTGCAGATAACTCCCTTGCATTTGATTTATTCTCATACAAAATCGGTCAATTAAAATTGAAAAGAAGATGATGCTGGGGTGTATCAAACACACGATGGGATGCCTCACACTTAGCATGGACAACCAGCAGAATAGTGATGCTTCAAGTAAATGTCCAGAACTATAGTTTATATGTCCTTTGAAGGCCAAACAAATTAAAATCTAAATCTAAACCAAAAACAGGGAGCCCCGCTGTTTGAACATTTGTCCTACATACTGGACACTCGCCGCATGTGCATGTACTAACCACCCGATCATGATGATGCTCAGTACTGTAAACGGACCCAAACCTTTGTTGTCCAATATTCCTTTTTTTATGTAAGAAAACAACTTATATATTTTTTAGAATAAAAACTTACATTATAATGTATCTTGTGTTTTCTTTATCTTGCCTTTGCATTTACATTGTTCAGATATCCTTTTAGGCATTGTAATCTAAGTATGTGCATCGTCAATTAACTAAAGATACACTACATTAAAATTTATGAGCCCCAAGTCCAGCCAGCTATATATAAAATTTCTTTTGTGAAGAAACTATATTTAAAGTTAGGTACTGTGTGTAAATTTGTAGTCCTAGTCACCCTCTTATTATCTAGGGATAGGTGCCAATTCAAACTAAATATAGTAAGTAATCTTAAGCTACCTCACGATGAAAAGTTTCACTATTCTCGAAGGAAAACCTTTTAAAAAAAATCATAAATTTAGTTTAGATAAACATGACGTAAGAAAAAACAACATAAATGTTGTTTATTTTTTCCACGCAAAGTGCAACCTGGTCTGGTGGTTTGCCCACGCACACGCGAGGTTTGTGTTTAGATTTTGAATTTAATATAATTTGCACGGTCTGGTCTTATAGGCTATATAGTGTATAGTTGTGCAGGCTAAATGTCTAGCCTACGTGGTCTCATGGGTGTCTTTGCGAGTCCTTTACCGGTAGATCGCGGAATCGAATCTCACTCTGTGCTGTTTTTTCATTTTATTTGATCAATTTTGTACGTAAATAAATAAAATGTAAGGGAATTATCTGCAAAAAATGCTTCTAGCCACTGAAATGCGGGCCTATGCCGCGTTGGCTCACCATGTGTGCTGGCCACACCGGATAGGGTTGAAAGCACTGTATTTACACTCTAAGACAAGTTAAGTGACCATAATTCCGTATTTTGCAAGTTTTAAAACTAAACTGAACATCGAGCGCAAGTTCTATGACTTTCAATGATATTACCTCTATTTGTCCCTTGAACTATGCAATCTATACTAATTTAAAAAGATCCATTGGAGCAGATTCAACAAATCTCGGTCATTAAATAATGTTAATCTAACGACCTATGTTGCTCAAATGTGAGCGCTCAACATGTTTAACATGTAATTAATATAATACCAAAACAAAATCCACATAATAAAGCGTAATTGATAGTTTACCTAATATCAATACAGAACTAATTTCCCCCTAATATTAACGTGCATTGCACATATACATTTACTAGTATAGATTGGTTGCTCCTCTAACATGGTATCATGACACTAAATGATTTTACTTTGGATGCCGTAACTCATCCAAATCTCGATCGAGTTGTTTGTCGGTCTCCGGATCGACCTTGGTGTACAGTAGATTTGTTTGGCTTGTGACGCTCATTCCTAATTGGATGGTAGGGTCTCTCTCTAGATCATGTCGCTGCCCTCTTCTTCTCTCGCCTGACCATGTTGTCCACCGCCGCTCCTACCACCTCCATTCTCTCCGCCATCCGAGCCGCATGTCCTCGTCCGGATCGCAGTAGCTCCCTCAAGTCCGCTGCATGTAGCCACCGTAGAATAGCCATCCTGACAAAAAACTAAGCGTGCCATGGATTTTATGCCATGGTTGCCAAAGGAAATTTCCATGCTCACCGCAACAAAATTTGCTATGCTCTAAAATTTGACGTTGGATTTGTAGCCAAATCGGTACAATATCGTCGTCGAGCATCGTTTGTGAGCCAACTAGGATTTTTATATTTTTTGTGTTTCGATTTGGGCCTGTCCAACCGACTTGGTTTCTGACCTCCTATATAAGGACCCAGCGACTAAGGCTTAGGGGAGGTCAAATTGTTAGATTGAGTTCTGAACATTGTGTCCACGTAGTGAATTATCCCTCCGGGGACGGCGCAGCTTGTTATCAAATAAAGTGATGATTGCATGAAGGTTTTTGTGTGATCAAGGATTATCGTGCCAAGGCTAGAAGCATGTTGTTCATCTCCACATTGCTTGCTGGATTTGTTTCCTCATCTTCAGGTTGTGTGGATTTATCCTGTGATTACAAGGTTTTCTGTCCAGTTGTCTTGCGGTGAAAGATCGGGCAGAAGAAAAAAACTGTAGGATCATCATGTGGTATCATATTACTGGTTTCTCACTGCGAGTTTGTCCGGTTAAGATTGCGTCGTTGCCACGAGTCTGTTCTATGGAGAGCTCTCATTGATCACGGTGCAAATTGCTGTTAGGCGACGAGATTAATGGTGGCAAACTCGTGAGGGCACTTATTGGATCAGCGTCTTGGTGGGGAGTTTGTCTCCAAGTCAGATCAAATTGAGCAGGTGTGGTTGCCATCAATTTTCCTTGCGATCCCGGTGAGGTTTGGTCGCTCGAATAGGAAGGACGCACTGTTTTGTCAGACTCCGGATTTTCTGGAAGCAGAGCGATTTGGTTGATACGTGATGGAGTAATAGTTTGTTTTGGAGTTTTGCGATCAGCTTGTCGGATTTTTAAGAGTGAATTTCGGTTTTTACCCCCTATCTTGACATTTTTGTCAGTAATTACCTCATTTAGCTGGATTTCATCCGTTTTACCCCATTTAGCAAAAGTGTTGCCAGAATTTACCCTGTTTAAAACTTTGTATCCGTTTTGACTGGCGGGTCCCAATTGTCAGGTCTAGCTGGCATGCCA